TCTGACTGTAGCTCCACCATTTCCAACCTATACAACAATGAGCAAGTTCTCAGAGCTTCTGTTTTCAGATATTTAAAATGAGATTGAAATACTGAAAAGATTAGTTGAGAGAATAAAGTGTTACCACAGAAAATGGCACATAGTATTTAATACATGTTAACTATTTATTCTAGTCATCTACTGCTACATAACAACTTAGACTAAAACTTATAACATAAAAAGAACCATTTTTGTTTTGTTTATGATTTTGAGAAAAAATTCTACTGGCTGGATCTTCTCTCATGCAGCTACAATTAGAAAGAGGCCAGAAGTAATCTCAAGGCTGTCCTAGGCTAGACATCCTAGATGGTTCATTCACAAGACTGGTAGGTGACTTGGAGGGATCAATCTGATCCTACACATGACCATTTTCATGCCTTTTGGGTTTCTCACTGCACAATGGCTGGATTTTAGCAAGAAGTGAAGATACCAAGAGACCTGAGTAGATATTACATGTCTTTCCTCTTGATGCAGGGCAAGTCCAGAAACTTACAATCTTTCTGCTTTATTAACACTTTCCCATCTCTTGTGATCATCTTCTGGCTCTGAAAGCTCACCAAATATTTATTGAATTAATGTAATTATGTATATAGCATTCCATCATCATTCCTATTCATTCAGTTACCAATTGTCCATTCTACCCACAAGCTTGCCTAATGCATGCACAGTACCTTTGGATCTATTTCACTTCCTCCTTTATTAGTGGCCCAGCTCTTGTGCCTATAGTATCTTGCACCTATATTCTTGTTATAGAGTCTAGTCTCTTGATATCCAGTATCTTCTGTCCAATTTACTTATCCTTGCTATCTAGATTAACTTTCCTAGGGCTCACAGCTAACCAAGTTTGACTCCTTCAGAGCTTTTTCTTTGCTCACTAAAAGATTCAATACACCCTGGTTTGAAAGTCAATGTCCTACTCAGTTTTACATCATCACCTCCAATTATTCTCTTTCCTGAACTTTTTTTCTTTTTTTGAGACAAGGTCTCACTATGTAGTTCAAGCTGGCCTTGAACTCACTATGTAGCCCAGGCTGACCTCAAACTTGTGGGAATTCTCCTGCCTCAGCCTCCCAGGAGCTGGGATTATAGGAGTGCACCACCATGCCCAGCATTCCTGCACTTTTTGTTTCAATGAACCAGACAACTTAGTGTTCTCCATAGTTACAGAATGATTTCATTCATTCATGTCTTTATCCCTAAATAAGTCACTTCATCTAAATATTATAAAAACCTATGAAGCTACTATTTCCTTTTACAATGAGCATCACTTGAAATATGTATCACCATCTCTTTTTACAGACAAGCAGTGTGAAATTTAAAGAAATTCATGATGATAACAACATAATAATTATAAATATGTAAATTAAAACATTGTTCTAAGTGTTTTACATATGTTGACTTGTTTATATACAATTCCATGAAGCACGGTCTCATTTTACAATAAGGATAAACTTGCAGCTACTTGATAGATTGAACTAACTGCTCCATCTGTACTCTGTTCCTACAGGCACACCAAACACAGAGATATTGGATAAATAATAGCTTTTAAGTATAATAGCCAAAATTTGAAAGAAATTAAAAAATCAGAGGGGCTAGAAATGAAGAAGGATCTAAATGTCTAAATTTTAAGTCAGGTCACTGTTAGCTCAGGAAGTAATAGAACTCACTTGATGATAGGATGTGTGACCTTGAACTCACACAAGATGAGAAATTAAGAATGACTTCTTTAGTTAAAATTAAAATAAAACAAAAGAGATTTGAAAATTTCCATTTGCTGACCCAATAAGTAATTTGTCATGTGCTCAGAAATCTCGGTGGGAAAAAATTATCCAAAGCAGAATTATGATCTCAAATGTGTGGTGTATGCAAGTGTGGGATATAAATTTAGTTATCATAAATAGTGAAGAAATGCCAAAATGTACATTGATATAAATAAAGTGATGGTGGTTTCAGCCCTGATCTTCTTGATCCCTAGCACATTTCTTAAGTTTCGGATCAATCACTTAGCTGCACATGTGCAGTGTGAAACTCCATGAGACTGAACAAGAACAACTACTAGGAAAAAGAAAAATCACATAGAAGACTCAGTAGTTCATAGAAGGCTACACAATGTTTTAGTTCCAACCAGTAGGCAAAGAAAGACAACTGAACTCCCTAGGAATTCAGGAAAGTTCCTAGAAAGTATATAACTTGAGAATGGGCTTATTCTTACACTAGATATAGGGCTTCTCTAAATCTTTCTAACAAAATTTTAGAATAGCTCTGAATGGGCCAAGGTTAACTCCAAGTAAATTATCTGCCTTCCAGAAAAACTAACAAACAAAACTTTTAACACTGTTAAAAGAAAGATGACAGAATCCAAACACTCGAGAATGTTGGGTTGACCATGAAATAACATTTGACTCATAATTATAAGAAAAATTGGTCAATAAATAGACTAAAAATTTTAAAAGTATGGAATTTGCAGAAGGCCTTCCAATACCTATTTTTTTCCAATACCTATTTAAAGATTTCCAAAAACTTAGAGTAAAATATAAACACAATGAGGAATCAAGTGGAAACTCTCAATAGAGATTTGAAACAATATATAAATATAAAAGTAATCAGAGATAAATAACTAATATTTCCAAAGAGATCATGCAATTCTTGACACAATAATATAGGGCAAAAATAACTGAATAATAATTCCAAATTGCTGAGGGAAAATAACTATCAACTTAGAATTCTGTGTACAGATATTTTTAAAGTTTGAGAGAAAAATAAATACATTTTTAGAAAAGATAGGAAATTTAATATATAAAAATATACTAAAGACCTCAGACGCTCACTATAAATGCTACTGAAGAATCTCTCCTACTTATCAAAAAAAGAAACTGAATTCAAAAGAAATGGTGCAATACAGCAAGTAATAGAGAATCAGTAAACAATTAAATGTGGCTAACTACAAATAAGCATTGTCTGTAAGTGCAACAACAAAATAAATAACAATTATATCAATAAAAGTCATAATAATAGTTTAAGTGTGGAACTAAAATATCAGAAGACAACATTTTGGAAGCTATGAGTGTGATTTAATTCAAAAGATTGTAAAGTCCCTATAAATTTGTTGTTAGAAAGAAGCATAGAGATATTATCCTCAGACATCAACAATATTTTCTCATTAAGGTGTAAACTTTAACTTGTTTAACTTGTTTAAAGTTAATTCTGTATTGATTTTACAAAGTAAATTTTTAAAGGAATAAGGAAAATTGGATCAATTAAGGTAGCAAAGGAATGGGAGGAAGAAGCAAAAATATAAATAGAAAACAAAACACAAGTAGAAATATGTCAAGGTGTATAAGCAAGATTGAATAAATAAAACCAGGGAAACAAATATTCTCATTGGTCATGAGAGACATGCCTAAAATACAGTCAGACCTACAGGTTGTGTGATGGTTAATTTTTTTCCTGTGTGTGTGATGGTTAATTTTGAATGTCAACCTGATCAGATTGAGGAGTGCTCAGATAGGTGGTATGTATGTATGTATGTATGTATGTATGTATTCTCAGTGCTGCAGTAGGCTCTAAGTCCATCCCTCTTCTGCTGAGGTGGGGTTTTTTTGTTGGTGTTGTTAGGGTCATTGGGTTGCCTTGTGTGCATCTGTAAGGGTATTTCTGGAGAGATTAGCATGTGAGTCAGTGGACTGAAGGAAAGATCCACCCTCAGTACAGCACCATCAATCACCATCAATCACCTAGGGTCCCCTGATGGAACAAAAAGGTAGAAGAAGAGTGAATTTTCACCCTCTCTCCTCTTCTGATAGGTGAGAAATTAAGAAGCTTGCTAACTTTACATAATGAGTGATGGAATAAAGATTCAGGTCAAGTGGTCTAAATCAAAATCTGAGTCTAGTACATGGATGTATTTTTTCCCTCCCCTGTCCAAGGGGACTTCAAGTTCCAGCTTAAATGTGTCCTTTGTGCTCCTTCCCTCGGAACTCTTTCTATAGTCTTCAGGCATCATGCTACTAATATTAACAGTGGTTAATACTGTCGCAAGCTCTTTATATATTAATCCATATAGCAATACAATGAGATAAGTACTACTATTGTTTCCTTTCTAGAGATAAGTAAACTTACACACAGTGAAGACAACTCTTTATTCTGTTAATCCCAAACTTTTGCCACTTCTTCCGTGGCATATGTGTTCCTGTGTGACTCATTCTTACCCATACCTGTGTGTTTTATCTTTTCTGATAGAGTCGAAACTTTTTAAGAGAATGAGACTATTATAGTGTAGATATGAAAAATCCCCCTAAAACTCACGCTACCAAGGCACGGTTGCCAGTTGATGGGCTTTGGGGAAGTGATCAGATCATGAGGATGCCTACCTCATCAATGGATTAGCCACTGATGTGTGCCTAGTCAAAAGGGCTTTTAGGAGGTGGGGCCTAGTTGAAGGGAGTGGATTGTGGGGGTGTAACCTTACAGACTTGTTCTCAGTCCCTCTCTCTTTGGTTTTCCCCCCTTTCTATGCTTCTTGGCTGTCATGAGATGAACAGCTTTGTTCCATCACCTCCTTCTGCCATGATATATTGCTTTGACACATGCCTAGAAGCAAAGGAGCCAAGTAACCATGAACTGAACCTCTGAAACCATGAGCCAGAATAAATCCTTCTTACTTCATTATTTTCAGGTATTTTGTCCCAGTGACAGAAAGCTAACACAGGAAGTTTCTTCCTGCATCTTTCCCTGTTCCCCACTGTCTGTCAAGGCTCTTCCTCCAAAATAGATGTCCAGGGGGCTGGGGATTTAGCTCAGTGTTTTCACCGCCTGCTGTGCAAGCAGAAGGACCCAAGTTCAATCCCTGGTACCCAAAAAAAAAAAAAAAAACCACAATAGAACAAAATAGATGTCCAATAAATATATTTTCAATGAATTATTATTTTGTTTTGTTAGATTTAATTTGTTTCAGTTTCCCAAGGAAAGGTATATGTAGTCAAGGGGTTGGCATAAATGCATTTGGACAGAGGGAATCATGTGGATGGTAAGCAATTGTTATTTGTGTTTAGCCATCATAATTACCCCAAATAATAGATTAGACTACTTGTAAATATGATGATTTACTGGAAAATATACACAGTATATAAAGTAGGCATAGCTCCTGTCCTCTGGAAATTTATATTTCAGAAACAATACAGCGAATTTTAGAAGGAAGACTGGAATGTCACATAATACTCTGGCTGAAGATGACTATTGATTTTCTAAGGTAATTCTTACATATACTAATTCATTTCATCCTTGTACAACTCTTTGTGTTAGGCATTATTATTACATACATTTATAGATGAGGAAACTAAAGAACAGATGATTAAGTAATGTGCTCAAAGTCAAAAAGTCTGTAGTTGTTAGAGGTATGGTTTTAACTATGACAATCTAGCACTAAAAATTCTATCAATAGGTATGGTTAAGTGACTATCACATTGTTAATTTAAAAAGAAAAGCCACAGTCATACCAGAACCCTGTCCTCTCATGACCAAAACAACAGTTGTCTCCTGATGCAATTCATCCCAGTAATACCGGTGTACATTCCCCTGGCCCTCCATCATTCAGATGACCTCTGACCATGTGATTTGTTTCAGCCAGTGGAACATAGGTGGATATGACAATGAGCCAGTACATGCCAAGGCCTTACAACATTTTCTGTTTCCACTAATTTCTCTTGCACTTGTGCTATTGCCATGAGAAAACCATGCCTTGGTTAACTACAGACCTAAAAATATGAGAGGCTCCTACAACAGAAATAGACCCAAACCACAGTGTGTAGCCACGCCAAAGCCCATCTGACACCCAGAAAATTGAATATATTATTTTAAGTAACTAAGCTACAGGGTTTGTTACACAGCATGTTTGTAGCAATAGCTAACTGATACAGACTGGCACTGAGACTGTAGCTTTTATGTTAACATCAATACTATTACCTTCTTCCTGTCTAACAAAAAAAAAGTCTGGGACATTTATGGGGTCCAAATTGGGAGAATAAATGTCAAAATCAAGAAAGATACATTTGGGAGTTTTTCTTTTCTGCCATGTTGGCATTTCACGCACATATTAAAAGTCCCTGAAATATCGCTTGTTGGCTGTGCTGTCACGATCCGTTCTATAGACATTTTGATGCACTTTATTACAAACTTTAAAATCATATTAGCAGCTGTTATTTTATATCACAATGGATTAATAAGATGCATTTTCACAAATAAGACACATTTTAGATAGTTTTGAAGAAATTTCAGTGTGAAAATCTTGTGCCAGGATTCCACATTTTAAATGACACATTTCCAAATAGCCTAAAGTGAAAATGCTCAAGTAAAATGCCTATTTGTACCGTGCTTGAAACTATCAGCCCCTCAACAACCCAGGAAACACGTAACCTTCCTACATACTGTGTTGTTTTCTACTGTAGCATATGACATTCAGAGAAAATATATCTCTGATTCTTGCTGCAGGGGAGCTGAGTAAGTAGCACAGAAAAAAATAACAAAAATTAAATAAATATTTTTCAGTTTTCATTTTCAATACTTGAACAATATTCATACATGAGAACAATCAAAAGCATGTTTATTCCCCTTCAAATATTAGAAAAATGGAATGTTCTATTGCCTTTTCATGTGGAATAATTAGGAAAGATAAGGATTTTTTTTTCTTGGAGGCAATCCTGCTTCCTATGGTGTTGCTAAGGAATAAGGAATTTTCCTTCCAACTGATCTTAAAAGAGATATCTAAGATCTATATCGCCTGTTTATGGATTACAGCTAACTTTATAGTCTTGCATAAACTGTACATTTGAGAGCAGTAAGACATGTCCCCTGTCTCACAATAAAAATATTATGGAACATTATATTTCCATATAGTAATGGTACTCTTATTTTACTAGTAGAAAGGTACAGTACTAATTTAATTGACTAACATAAAAGTCTCTCAAGTAAGATCAATACTTTATTTTCTCAACAGTTTTCATGAACAAAGATTTAATTCCACCTGCATCCCCAGTTCCTGTGACAGTGCTAAGGGGCAGGTCTGATGACCACCTGCTCTCTGTGGTCCAGATGCAAAACCTGCCAAGCAATTTCAGAATGTGAATAGTGAATCTCAACTCCACTGCACATTAGAATCACCAGGGAAGCTTTTCAAAGACACCAATGCCCAAACTCCTCCTCAGATCAATTAAATCAGAATCTCTGGGGGTGGGTTTGGGGTACTATTATGTTTTTAAAGCTCCCCAGGTGATTCAATGTGCTGCCAGATTTGCCATCCATTGACTTGGGCTGGAATTTTAGGGGGACCAACAAATAGACTGGCTCACTTGGTGTCTACCCTGCATTCCTGCTCTGGTTGCTAAGGGTAGAAATTCCCTGCTCAGTGCCCATGCTAAGCAGGTTTTATGTTGTTGGTGGTGGTTGTCATGTATTTTTTTCCTTTGTACACTGTAGATCTTTATTGCCATTGCTTCAGTGCTTTTGAGTGTAGAACTCCCATCGACGTCCATGGGGGAGCTGCTCCTGGAACGAGTTTGGAATGCACAATTGAGAGCTCCTTGGTGCAGTTGGAGAGGGAATCTCGCCCTGAGCTTTTTATACACCCCAGAGTTTAACTTTCTTACCTCCTTCACTTCCTTCATTTTAATTTTTCATTTTCATGTCTGTGCCTTGGTATTGTGAATCTTGATTTCAGAGTGGCTCCTTCACTTTCTGTAAACTTTGCACATTTTGTCATTTTCTGTTCAGGTGTCGTTGAGGTTCACCCTAGGACAGCTTTTTCCCTGAGTCAGGAGAGACTGAGGGAGAGAGAGAGAGAAAGGTAGAGAGTTAGGTTCACTGCTGGCCAGTTAGGTCTTATGAAAGCAATGGTTTAAAACTCCCAATCTTCCTTAATGCAGTGGTCATACTGATCAAGAAAACTTTTCGTCTTTTTGATTAGAAGACTATGTAAGCTCCTTATTGTCAAAGGACATCGCACAACTATCTTGTGGTCTAGAGGAAAACAGTATTTCACAAACTTTTTTAGTAGAGGAAGGGGATGGCAAAAGTTCTACACAAATTTCTCTAATCTTCTATGGAGCAAGGGATATTATGACAAGCCCTGAATGAGAAGCAGCGCATGCCATGAGATTCAGTTTTGCCTTCCCCTGACCTGCAAGGAAAGTATTGCAACACTACTCCCTCAACCAAGGTAGTTAAACTAACAGTGGGCCCTCTTTCCCCAGAAGCATCACTGGAAACCTGTCATGCCATAAAGGACAAGATGAAAAGATAAGGCACCTAGTCTTACAATACACAGTCCAAATCTGGCAACCCTTAGATGACAGAGGAGGCACCTAATCCAGCTATAAAAGTGGCTTGGAGTGTGAAATGCTATGCAGTGCCTCAAATGGTCCATAACGTACCTGTGATATCATAAGAGGCAGCCCTCCCCTCACTTTCTTAGGAAAAGAATAAATGGAATTTTTGGATGGAGAAGTTATTATCACTGTCTTTGAATATTCTGAAAATCCTTTAATCTGGAAAAATTCCAACATTTCACAACAGTTTTCATTATTGAAAATTCAAATTGCTGACTTTCTTTTCTTAGAGGAAAATGGATGTTTTCATGTAGAATCATATTGCTCAGTTGATACATTGCTCCAAACTCTTGCCATCAAAACTGATGACAGAGTTCTCATTGGCATGGGATTAACTCCAGTGATTGGATCCCATAAAATCTGCCAGGAGATTCCACTGTGTTGAATGATTTATCTTTCTTTAATTAGTCATTTAGGAGCTTATTGCAAGTAAGATCTCTGAAATATTGGAGGAAACGGGGAAGGTAGAATTCAGAACTTAGTTGAATATTATTGTTAGTTCTTTTTCTGCTAATAACACAAAATACTGTATTATTACTTCTGCTGTTAATTTCAAAGTCTGAATGAGTTATGAATGGATTTGTTTTGGATCACAATCCCAGCACAGGGTTATGGGGTGGTATCAGGTGATGGCCACTTTACTGGTAGAGTCAAGAGGCCATGCTGGGCATTATGAAGAGAGAGACAGGGAGCACCCAGAGAAGAAGCTAGCCAGACTGGTTTTTATAACAGATAACCCACTAGAGATATCTGCAGAGTAACCTGTTATGTGATCAGTCCATTCATGAGCACAGGCTCTTAGTAACTGTTAAAAAGCCCCACTTGGGGGGCCACGGATTTAGCTCAGTGCCTGCCTCACAAGCGCAAAGTCCTGAGTTCAATCCCTGGTACCAAAAAACAAAACAAAACAAAACAAAACATCCCTCTTGCCTTCCCCTCTTAATATATCATACAAGTGTTAAATGGCAACAGGATTTTCAGAAGGTACTAACCATGTTCAAACCATAGCAAGTGCCTATTTCTTCACTTTCTTCAGATGGATATCCCATGTCAACAATATCTTATGTATCATTTCCAAAAGAAACCTTGGAAAAGGTAATTAGTATTTAAAAATTAATACAAGGGACTCCATACTTCAATTGCTATTTTTTCTGCCTGTATCTAAAAAGGAATAGATAGTGACCAATTCGTTTGGGCTGGTAAAACACTGGGCTTAGACTCAAGGTTGATGTAGAAAGTTTCTGATAATAAAAGAAAAGGAAGTCAAATTGCTGAGAACCACTGAGGTTTTCCCTTTATTGTTCTTTAGTTCAGTGCTATTTGAAATAAAGAAAATCCTTGAAAAGCCATAAATATTTGCAGTGAATTATTTAGCAAAACAAAGCAAAAAGACAGGTCCATCTCCTCTCTTAAATCTGATATATCACTGTTCTCATAGCAAAAATGATCAAACAATATGGGAAACTCAAAAAGGAAAAATTTTCAAATTCATATTTACATTTAGCCATAAGATTTCCTTACGCTGATCAGCTTTCAAAAATGGAACGGTCGTAACAAAAGGCATGAAAAGCACTTAAAGGAAATCTGTGGGAAATTTACGTCCAGGGCTATATTTTTAAAGGGACCCAGAGCAAGCACAGAAAATGTAGGTGAATATGCTACTGCACTTGCACATTTTGCTGTGAGAAAACCAGCAAGCTACCTGAGTCTCATAAGCCAGCTCCTCCATTCAGTACACAAAGCTCTGCACAAACAAGAAGTGAAAGGTAGTGTGAAAGGGGAAAATGCAGGGCAAAAAACTCACTGGACAGAATCTAAGCCTACTGCAAAATCCCACAACATGTTGAGTTTGCAGAAGGTTGGAAAGAGATATCTAAGTAAGCACTGAATAGTGAAAGTACAGCCACATTTATATAAAAAAATCAGTTGCAATGCTTAGGTGATCAGAGTACTAAAGTAAAAAGGGGGCTGGAAGAATTCCCCAAGCCAGGCATGCTGATGTACACCTGCAGTCCCAGCACTCCAGTGGCTGAGGCAGGAGGATCACTGTGGGCCAGGCTACATAGTGAGTTCAAGTCCAGCCTGAACTACATTGTGAGACTATCTCAAAATAAAACTAAAAAAAAAAGAATCCCCCAAAACATTTATTCAAACATTGGCTAAATCAGTGGCTTTCTTATAAACATGGCTGAATGGCTATAGAGGCACAGGGTGAAGTGGAAGCAGGGAGGAAGGACTAGAAATAAATATGAAAATATGAAGAAAGAAAAAATCCAAGCAGAGGCTGTACATAGTTAGGAATAGAGAATTTGTGGGTGGGAGGGTAAATATTTGAGTAACAGAATAAAAAGGCTAGCTGGAACAGTTTCTCATCTATGAATGGGTTAAGTGCCCAACCTATGCTGGCCAGTCATACTCTTTCCACACCATAAGTTGCCTATGTCTGGACCCATTAAACATTTGCATTATCAAAGGGCGTGAATATATTCCCTTGAGGCTCTGAAGGGCAGAGCCTGGAACAATCCTACAAACCTGTGGTTTTGTCCTTAAAATGAATGCAAATTATATATTCTAATCTCAGTTTCACTCATACTTATCCATACAGGTTTTCCTTCCAATCTAGATGGCTCAGTTCAATGCTCCTTGTTACTGGTATAATTTTGCAAATCCCTGAGCACACAGAATCTGGCCTGGAGATAAAGGAAGAGGAAATGGATTTCTAGCTATTAGTAATGAGTCTTTCTAGGTGTGTTGGTGCACACCTGTAATCCCAGCACTTGGGAAGCTGAGGCCGGAGGATCACTGTGAGTTGAGTCCAGCATAGGCTACATAGTGAGTTGAAGGTCAGCCTGAACTGCATAGCAAGACCCTGTCGCAAAAAAAGCAAAACAGCAATAATGGGCCTTGACCTACAGGGAAGACTGAATAACAAAGGCATCCAACACCTAGAGGAGCAAAGAGGTTTGGGATTTCATGAACATTTCACCCTAAATTCTGGACCACAATAGACCGGACACTGGTGTGCTAAAGGAAGTCAATGCCTGAGAGAGAACTGGGCAAGTAAATCTAAGCACAGTCATGAAGAGAGTGAAGTGTTAACAGATAACGTTTTTAACCCAGTGTTTTCTTCCAGTCTCCACTCCCGACACCATTCAATCTAGTCCACTCAATCTAGCTACCAGACTGTAGAGTACATCAGAATCCATGATGAACTTGTCAAAACACAAACTCGTGGGTCCTATCCCCAAGGTTCCTGATTGTCTGGGTCTGGCATAGAGGCTGGGAGAAGAGTGAGGAATGGAAGTCAAAAAGGGTCCTGTAGAGGACATGAGAGTCCAGGAGGGCAAAAGATATCAAGGTATAACCATTTATCAGGAATCTGAGTAATTCAGGTTCAAGTCAAGGTCGTGTGTGGCCATTGTAGGAAAACTGGCACCATGGACAAATTTAAAAATCTAAATGAAGCATTACTCACTTTTAATAATTGTCAAGAAAAAAATGAATAAAATAGTGTTATTAAGATAATTTACAGTTAATTAAAAATAAATAGAAGAACGCTCTGTTTACATATTTCTAACAGAAATAGCCACAATTTACATGAATACCCCACTGCATAGTCTACAGTTCATTTAGCATGGAAGGATAAAAATTGAAAGTCTGATGGTTCAACAACCTAGACACCAGTGCCTCAGGCTGTAGTTTGAGGTCCTAAGAGTCCTGTGTATATTGAATGTTTTCATGAGATTTATGTACCCCATCCCTACTCCAGTGGGCTTGGAAGTTTACATAACAATCAGATAATGGATCTGTAGAGTTTTACAAACCAGACCAAATCTGGAAACACAGTAAGGTGAAGCGAAGGCCCCACCAGTGGTTCGACTGGCACTTTGCACTTACGAAGGAGACAGTGCATTTCTGTGGACTAGAACAGCTAACAATGATTACTTCCTTTTAACTTGTGCCAAACAGGGATAATCATAGATTTCTGGATAAACATGAAAAAGATATTCTATATACCAGGAGAAAATACATTGTTTAATGTTTTAAGAAATTAAATTCATGAAGTAACGGTAGATGATCATGAATTTCTGTTTGGGCAACACCTTCCCTGTCTCTCTAGGATCAGCACAATCCTATCAAAAAACACTGCAAGACATAGGCATCATTTAATTTTGCTAGTAGCAATATTTACAAAAGTAAAAATAAATAGGTAAAAATAATTTATACATTTTATTTACCTAGTATATCAAAAGTATTATTATTTCAACATGTAATCAATAGAGAAAACTAATGAGATAGGTTATATTTTTCTACTAAGTCTTTGAAATCCGGGGCATATTTTAGACTTACAGCTTGTCACTGGCTGTATTTCAAGTGTTCGATAGTCACATGTTCAACAGCCTTAGTCAGTGGCTACCACACTGAACTTACTGCACCAGATGCCCTGTGATCACCAGAGAATAATGAAAAATGAGACCTGCTTTCTGCCAGGCATAGCCTGTACTCTGTTCCCTTCAACCAGCAATTGTTAACATCACTAATTTAAACATGTGACATGTGTGGAGACCCTGATGATTTCTACCTACAAAATAATAATAGTGCTTAGCTGTTAATGATACATAAGTGTCAAACAGCAAACACTCACAATGATAGCTCAAGCTGATCATATATCCTCTTTTTTTCCCCCTCTTCTTTCTTTTTTAGGAAATTAAAATCTAAAAGTTATCTTAAAATGCATTCTTTTTATTCTTAAATTTGATACATAGTTGGAAAATAGGGATGGAAGGGAAGATTCTGTATTTAGAGCTGACATGTTAACTGGGAAAAATGTGCCAGGGAAAAATAAAAAGTCCTCCCCCAGTGGAAGAGAAAGAAAATAATCTTTACTGCAGTCCCATCTTACCTATCTTGCTAGTGCTTCTGGCTGGATGGATATACTCCCCAAACCAGGACCACCTCAGGTTGCAAACTATCAAACTGGTGAGTGACACTGACAGGAGTGGTTGAAATTTACCTTGAAAAACAAGAAAAAAAATGGATTAGCCAGCATGTTAAAGGGGTTGATTTCTGTTGCCGGTGTGAGTGTGTGTGTGTGTGCGTGCGAGCATAAAGCCTGCTCTCCCAAGTCCACAGGCAGCTGGGCTTTGCAATGCCCCAGGATTTGAAAGGTATAACTCAGAACTGCTCCCATCAACATATTCACAGCAAAACTAAAGAATTGCCAGAGTTTGGGTGGGGGGAGGATTTTAGGAGGGTCAGTGTGTCTTTCTGTTCTTTCACAAAAAGAACAAAAGATGGAAGCCATTTGCGCTAGCCTGCCTGGTTTTAAACCATATTGATGAGTAATCTCACAGGACACCCTCAAAGGAAGTTAAGCACATGGGTGTGTCTATATAACCTAAGCCAAAATGGACCAGGCTGAAAATGTTTTGCCACCTGAATGAGGTGCTAGGCTGCCAAACTCCAGAAGGGACAACCAGGACCATGGGCAGAAGCTGCTGGAAGAATTTCCAATACATTATTTGGAAAGGGCTTCTAAAAATTGAGTCCAACAATGGTATAGATTCTGGGAGAACAAAGCTTCAAATCAATGGGTCTGACCAAGCAGGGACTGTATGGCTATTTCTCAGGCGAGCTGCATTGAAAAACTATATTCTACAAAGCCTTTTTATTCAGTTACCAACTACTGAGCAACTCTTAAGTGCTGCCCAGGACTGGGACCGTAGAAATGAAAAAGATGCAGTCTCAGGCCTCAAAGAACTCTAAGGTTTATGAGTCCACCCATGCTTGATCTCTAAAATAAGGGAGTTAGGATTCAAATTGGGTGGATTTAAAGGAGTTTGTCCCATGGTGGGGCCCAAACTCATACATGGCAGTCTGCTCCAATAAGACAATGAAAACAATTAAAATACAGTCCTCGGGTCGTGCTGATCTTTCTGTTCAGAACCTCCTCCTCTGTCACTTTGATTAATCCATTATCTTTCAGGTACCCAGCAGGGTCTTGTTACTTCCAAAGTCCCCTATGACAGACTGGACTGAATTGATGTTCTCTCTATTTCTGGAAACCCTATTGTATATATATTCAGCACCATGATGCATGAATCATTCTGTGGTTTTGTGGTTTCAGTAACATTATAAAGTTCTCAAGGCCAAGCATAGTTTGCATTTTTTGTATCTAGAACTATGGCAGTTCTAGGTTTATTACATGAATGGTGAGAAAATATGTACTAAATGAACTGAAAATCTAAGTGTATTAGGAATGTTGACAAATGAGTGTATTAAAAATTTATGATGCCAAAGAAGAAAACCAATAAGAAAATTACTTCTTGGTACTTAGGAAACTAGAATAAAGATAGAATGGGACAGGAAAGACAGAGATCTATGATATAAGAGTTCAAGTATTTACTGAATTACCAAATTAATTCATATTTGAAACTAATATATAAATCAACTAATATTAGGCACTCTATATATAACTGATTTGGGTTGTACATGTTCAACATAAAAGGTTTTATTGGATAATTTGATTTTTTTAAAAAAATCCCTAATCCATTCCCTTTCCTTATTTAATGCTTATTTAGTATTCATATTAGAAGAATCTGGGTCTCACTGTGCCGGTAATGAGAATGCTTCCAGGGTGCTCTAACTTGGATCTTTCTGAGACCTCCAGGAATATTTACACAGCCCAGTGGTCCACATCCTGATTATTATCTTTGTTTTGAAGAGAAAGTTAAAAACCTTTGCTCAGTTACTTCCAGGAAGTTCCATCTTTTTAACTTAGTTATTGGGCCACACTCAATGTCACAATCTGCAATGACTTGAATAAGCCCTGCCTCTGACACCAGCAATCACTGAAATGACCCAAGGTCTCCATTTCTATCACTTGTCTCAGGTTCAAGGATGAGGGTTAGAAATCTCTTCCATGGAGTTACAGTTTTCTATATCAGCTCAAGCCACCATAGGCCTGGACTCCCTTGTTAAAGCCCATTACTTACACACTTCTTTTCTGTAAACACACACACACTTACACCATACTAAGACATCATAGTTATTATGTTTAAGGATTATTGTATTAAAGGCATCATCATTGATAGTATTTTTAATCTTCACAGCAACTCTCTGAGGTGGATTCTACTACAAACTGTTCATAGATGACAAAACTGAGGCACATAAAGGATAAGCAATGTTCCCAATATCACACAGCTGGAAACTGTACAGCCAAGATGTAAATGAAGCAATATGATTCTAGAACATTCTGCTTTGTGTCCAGAACTGCCCACTATCTCCCCCCTGGTTTCCACATCTGAAACAGAACAAAAAGCTACCACAAAATTGATGAAAACCTACTGACTTGCCCAAGGTCAATGAGAGATAGTGAGAAATTAGTTCATGTGGCATTTGTGTGAATTAACATTTGTAATGGGCAACATATGGTGATTTGTGCTGATTTTTTGGCAGAGGTCTGGCAGAGAATACTCAGAGGACACTGTCGCTCTAAGATATTCCTGGATGTGCTCTGGTGAGTTTAGTGTACCACAGGCCACAGAAAGACCTTTCTTATCCATTTTCCATATTAGCAGTCAATATGCTTCCTTACCAAACCTTAAGTTCCCTTTGTAAAGGACCGAGATCCGTCTTTGTTTGCCTGGCTAAGAGGCTGCTCTCATTTTAACCTAATATCTCAATGTTTTCTGGGGCTGTTTATTTTTGTTCAGATGTCAGGGTTATGGAAACCATGTAGATGAACTTTTGGTAGTCTAGAAGAGGCCTGAAGACCATACAGGACATTAACAACAATAGCTTCAATATCTTATAATACTTATTTGATCTAGAGAGTACATTTTGAAGCCAAAGCTTAAGTATTTTCTGCGCCTTCTTGCATTAAAAGTAGAAAGTAATTATGTAGCTCCAAAATGTGGATGAAATAAAAATTATTATAATATTTCCCTATAAGACTAAGGGGGTACCCAAACTACCCCAATTATACTTATTTTTTATGCCTCTGCCTACCCCACCAAAAAGGATAGAATTTGTCATACTGTAAAATACCATCTGATGCATCTTGAACCTCAGCTAAGCTAAAGCTTAATTCTATGTGACATTTCTGGTGGTGTGTTATATTTTTGCAAAAATAAATCCCTTTGATTAAAATTTCACACCTAGCTGAGGACCATGAAGCACTGATTACCTGGTCCACTCCTAGTCCAGCATTGCCAAAAGGTTTACAAACCTCAATACAACTGGAGGAGAACTTGGCCTAGACTTCAAGTTAGTGGAATCATTCAAAGCCCAAGGCATTTGCCAGGTGGCCTGTTCTCTGCCCTGTGTCAGCAGCTCTAAATTAGGCACATGCTCTTTAAACCAGCCATGAAAATGATTGGCCCATATAGCCAGAGCCCAAAGGAAATCTAAGCAGATTGGCTATGACTGAGGCTGTGGACATAATAGAAGTTCTGCCATTCTCCATGGGTTTGAGGGGGAAAAAGCAAAGCTTCTCAGAAAGAAGTTGCTCAAGTTCCTGTGACATTGGAAGAAATAGAAATAGTTGCAAATGCCCAGATTTGCAAACGCTGGTGTTATGAAATAGAAGCAGGGGCAATCTTCAGGCTAATGCTATTATAAAACTGTTTGTAAAGCCTGGGGCTTAAACATCTCCAGCTTCATAACTAGCCACTGCTTTAAAAAGGACATTAGGTTCACATTTGCGTCTTTCAGATAAAGATTTTATGTCAGAAGTTCAGCCCTCTGGACAGCATAAAATTATAAGGAATTTTGTCTGGGTTACACCAGTTGTCCACAAATCCAACATTTTGTCTTTGATGATGGTTTGTGGCCCAGGCCCCATGTGACTTCACCCTCCAAAGATTATGGATATGTGTTTAAAGTATTATCCATAAACCCTTCTCAAAGCTGTTAATGGTTTCAGCTTATATAACCTTGCTCATGCTATATACATGCTGTATAAAATATTATTTTCTCAAGTTTATTCTTGAATACTTGCTTGTTTCAAGGAGATTCATTACTTCTTTAATTACTGAAGTTGGAGAACAAAATCTATGTCCACCTCTTTTTATTAGATACATTTTAATCATATCCAAGCTTAGACTCTGGTGGCAATATGAGAGATGAATTGACACATGACAAGACTGAAAGTAGGAAACTAGCAAGGATACCCCAGAGGTGGTCCTAGAAAACCATGGAGAGGGGTTGAACTGAGAGAATGGCACTGGTTTGGGGAAAGAGGGTGGATCAGATATTACAGCCCTAAAATTTTGGGAAATCACCCAGTAACCTCAAAGTAAAACCAAGATCTTTCAAGACCATTTAGAACTATTTAGAGATCCTCAGCAGAAATGATGAGTTTGGAAGAAGTAATGAAAGGAAGAAACAAGAGTGGAATATGGGACCAGAAGCCTGCTTGGGGGGTGGGGGCGTCTAGCATTTGCTGTCATTTGAAAGGATGTGGTAGAACACCACAGCAAACAGAAGGGGCTCATTTAAAAATATTTGGAAGATCTTGATCTGAACAAGAACAAAACTAAAGAAGGGGCATATAAAATACAAATAAAAGATGTGAAGCAATGTAGGAGATCGAGGGTCAAGGCTGTACCAGTTTCAGAGTCTAAGTATTGGATGCCACAGCAAGGCCCAGAAAGGGTTCCTATGAATTAGACACCTGACAGATGCATGGAGGTGTAACCCATACAAGTCCCAAAAAGGAATAGAAGAAGCAAAAAAAAAAAAGCAACTGATGACTTTAAAATTAGAAAAACTAAATTTGGGCTTATTATGCCCAAGAGGAATATAGCCTGATGCACAATTTATGCAAATTGATAAAGCTGATTACACAAATTACCCAAGGCTTTGGCTTGTTTTTTCTCTGGTCAATAAGTCCCCCCACTCCCTGCACCCTTTTCTAAACTCAGTTTATTGCTATGGCATGTACAACAAACCCTCTTGTTAGTGGTAGTGGGCAATCACTTGAGAACCCAGTCTGGAAATAGCTTCTTATTTCAGGCACTAGGCTCAAACTGGTAGGACACTGAAGGAGCAAGACAGATAACAGCTGGTTCTCCTATGAGAATGACAAAGTTATTTCTCACAGTCCAAGACCGTCCCTCAGGAGATTTTTCATTCAGATAATCCTCACCCAAACCCCACCCAGGTTTTACTCAGCAGAATGAAACACATTTATAAAATATTATTAATATGCATCTCAGTCAATCCTCGAGCCATCTAGGAGGAAGAATCTACCATCATCATTTAAATTTGAGAATCTCTGTTTTGGTACAATTAAGTCCC